GACATAGTATACAAATTTAAAAAKTAAATTCATTATTAAAGGAAAAATGGGAGAATGACACAAAAATGAAAGCATCCTAGGTATATTTTGTACACAGTGATGGAAAATGAATATTTTTTCTGTCCAAGGAAAATTCTATAAATCGTSTACGCTGTGATTGTATAGCTAAATGTTCAAACATTAATTATGTCGTATTTTTACTTTAATCCCCATTTCCACTGCTTTTGTTCAAAAATTGTACTGATTAATTTTAATTTTCAGAAATATTTAAAAAAAATAAAATACTTACCGTAAAATATATATATATATATTTAAGTTTAGTTTATGGTAAATTTTATGTTCTTTAATTTTGGTCAAAGGTATTTTTATTGTAACCTGAAAAGCTGACGAGTTATTAGCGAAAACAGTGAAAGGGGCACGCCATTCATTAAAGAGGGAGTGGGGGGGCTACGCACAAGGGGTGGRTGTTAGAACTTAAAGTATATTTATAAGTGAGGTATAAACTACTCAAACACTAAAATTCAGTTTTCGATGAATTAGTTCCTAACTTTGTCGATTTTTTTTATCTGATTTGACTGGGCTATTACGTGTGAACATGACTATATTATTATTATTATTAAATAATATTATAACATTGTCATTTGGTGAAAAAACGCCGTCCACGGGGCGGCGCAGAGAAATTCCGCAGAATCGGTTTACCGGTTATCGTCTCCAAACTGGTTAGGTCAGATCTCATACAGATTGGAAAATTAGTATTTCGTCGTTGATATTATTCAAGAATTCGCGCGAGCGAATGAATAACATATACGCAAAAACAGTGCTTACAGTGTTCCGGATAGATGAAAAATATCATAAAAATATATTGTCAATTGTCATGTTTGGTTTTATGTGTGACCGTGTAGGTACACAGTATATCGTTTGCCTATATATATATATATATATACAGATATACTTAATATTATTTCGGTACACACTGTTTGTTCGGGCAATTTCGATCAAAAAATTAATCATCTGCTTGGAAAACTATCATGTGTAGTATACATACACATTATACAGTTTAGGCGAATTAAATAATTTTAATTTGCGTAACGTAAAACCTGGTGACTTTGATGGGACGTTTTTAAAAATAGGGTTCATTATTAATGATTTTTATTATGGTTTTTTTTATGATTTTGTTTGAGCTATTGAAAAATAATTATTTATGTTGACTGTACCAACATCGTTTGTATTTAAGATTTCGTTATTAATTATTTACGTTGTATTTTATATGTGACTTTATTTTTCCATTAACAATGTACATAACTGCACAATATATAAATTAATAATTTACCTACCTGTAAACCTATTCATACTTATTCGTTAAGATTGAAGACTTGCAAGTAAATTATTAGAGCTTAGTGCTTACAACTCGAAATCGGTACTGTTGAACCCAATTAGTTAAATTGTAGTTATTCCTAATCAGTAATCATTGAGTACTGACGTAACACGCATATCATGGATTTATGATGTTCAGCGGTTCAGAATCATATTTTTCTTTTAAAAAACAAAATCGGGATTGATCACAACGGTCCACAGGAAACTCCTTAAATATGGTATTAAACATCGAAGTATTTCAAAAATAAAATCATCAAGTATACTATAAATAAATTCCCAAAACCCGAATTTAAATAAATTTATTGATAATGGAAAAAACGGGGGTGAGCATGCTTGGGGTGTTATCGTCTTGTATATTACTATGTACGACGATAAAACAATAATGATTATAATAGAATATGGCCGTTCGTATATAAAAATACTTTTTACACTCACACAACGCCGATTCGATGTCTGCGCGCCGAAGTGATCGACTCTTTACTATACAATGTTTACCACGCTCGCAACACATGTGTGGGATTTTATACCGATGCACACACACACTCACACATTCACGTACATAACATATTATATATATATATATAGGTGCACGTAATATTATTTTCATACGCATCACACATGGTTAAAGTCGTAGCGATCTGTGCGTGTTTATGTTTGTTTGTTTTTTTTTTTTTAATTTTCGACGAGCATGTGCGTTTTATTCGGAAACCGAGTCTGAATAATAACTATCACCACCACCACTATCATGGGGAAGACAGGCTAACAGGACGCTGCTCACTGCCATCGCCGTGATGGCAAGATGGCAAGCCGCTCGCGAATGCTTCCTTTGCACCGACAGGAGACAACCCACTTATTATTATTGTCGATGTCATTACCTACCTACATGCAAATATTGATGCGTATTATATAGTATTTGATTTATATTATTTTGATTCCCGTTTCTAAAATATATATAACAATACAAAAATCCCTGGCGATAACATTATACTTTGTTCTAGAAATAATTTTTTAATCACGATTTTCTTGTATGTTTATTATTTTATCATAGATTTRTATAGATTTATCATTTATATAATATATTATGTGTTTCTATTCTATACGTCTTGATCTCTTCTATAAAATCGCTTTTCATCAACGTTTCGTTTATCTATAATTTATTAATAACTAAATACATAGGTATAATTTAGTCTAAATCTCATCTATTTAAAATAAGACTTTCTAGCTAATTAAATGTTAGATGATAAGTTTTAATTTGTACACATTTACTGGTTGAAAACGATTTTGTTGGAACGGACATTATTTTAATTGAATAATGCGTGCATACAATATAATAAYATGTTTACGTGTATATTTTAAACAGTTATGCGTCATGTAGAAAATGTTACTAAGCTAATTATGATTTGCTTGTAATATTGTTAGAGAATATAAATTCAAAATATGTCGTCGACACGATTTCAATATGATGTATATGTACGTGTTTTTGTCTAACGACATTGTTTTGCCAATAGCACAATGCGCGCTGTTCTCCGGTTGACCCATTATGCGATTTATTTCTCACGGAACCATCAAGTTATTAATAACATAGCCAATAATCGGACTACCAATAAACAGTTAAATGTCAATAAGCACGTTCCAAAACAAACAAAAAAAAAAAACAACAACTGGACACAATTAATATATGCCGGCACAAGCACAGCATATTAAAAATCTACCAAGTATTTAAGATTTGGAAACAGAATCTAACACTGATGTAAAGTCATTTTTTTTTTTAGTTCGAGTATATCATATTGAATTGTTACTAATTTATTATTAAATTTAACCACTGTTTCGATGAAAATAAAGGACCTTAAATTTAATCCTTACTATATTTTACTTTATAGACTTTGCATACATTTTAAATTATTATATTAACCGATTTTAATATTTTAAAATATTATTCAATTTTTTTAAATTTATTTATTACTTTTATGTCGGGTTGCATAAAAAAGTATTAATCTAATGGTTCAATAAAATCGAATCGACCAGTTATGGGCCAATATAAATTTTGTTTAARGGACCATTAGTTCACTATAGATTTGTTAAATGTTTAGTGATTGTTCAATTTTGTTCACATGTTAAATTCGTTTGCATTTTCGTAATTTTTTTATCTTGAAAAATGTAAGCAAGTATTAAATTCGAAATATTTACATATATTCATTATAATATTAGAATTTTAACTATATAACTTAAATACCTATAAATAGATTGTCTCCGAGTGTAGCTCTGATAAGTCATCAACACCAAATATAGGTACATGTGTGATCAATTAAAGCCCCGAACCCCGACATCCGGTGTTCTCATAATATGTGTCTAGGTGTCCTGATAAAATATATTAACTTTGTAGATAGTGTGTTTTTTAAATAAGATAGTAAGATTACATGTTATGTTATGTCCTCTACGCCAATGTACAGATTTCTTGATCTCTCGAGTTTTGACAATCACAGATATGCGAAAAATCTTGGGTTTCTATCCAACCTCCCGGCTGATTAAATCGACTTTTCGACATTTCTAGCTAACTTTCATAACTTTTTGCTTTACCCACTCACAACTCACTATTATTATTATTCAGCTTATACTCAATATCACAAACTATGTCCCCACTTTTTCACTCCAATTTGTATACATATCAGTATATCACTATACCAGACGTGCATTTATATATTATATTGCATCAATAAATCTGTTATAACTCCATGTTTTTAACCCCATTGGTTTTATTTGGTCTGTGCCATATTCATCAATAAAATAAAATAAGTAAATTTTAATATTTCATCGGGGATACACGATTTGCCGTTTTGCGTTGATGTCCACGATTATATACTCGTGTCATGTATATAATATACCTAGTATTATATAATATATTCAATGATTATTATGAATAAACGTAAGAATTCTGAATTTCATTAACGGAAGAACTTCGACAACAGAAGAATCACTGCAGTAAACAACAGTCTTGTTTGTTTACTGTTGTCGTTGGCCGAAACCCGTTTGAAAATCAAAAAAAAAATTTGGCAGTTTCCGATTTAGTGTTTGTGTGCGTTCGCATGACGTGCGTATTCTCCAGCACACACACACACACATAGATATACCATGCCAATTGCATAAGAAGTCTCGGCCAACGGGGTCACGGCGACGACACGACCACGACCACGGTAGTGTGTGCGTTTGGCAGGCTGTAGCGGTCTGGTTGGCACCGGGTGCCGGAGGATCTCGACGTGTGCGATTCCCACTAACCCAGTGCGGTGCGGTGCAAATTGGCAKCACCTCCTGCTGCAACCACGTGCTCAAGACTGTTGCTCGTGATGACCGGGATCCGATCGTACACGTTCACCGCACACACTTGTACACCTACTTATAACACCTAGGACCTAGTCAATAATTGCAGGTTTAGGMAAGGATTTCGCGTATACCTATTGGCTATTATACAATTTATAATAATATACTCTTATATAAACTGAGTAGTACACGCGAATTGTAACAATAATGATGATGATGATAACAATAACAATATGATAATATAGTGTAATATATAGCAACGGCGTTGTCGTATTATAATGACTTAATTCTGTTTTTTTCTTTATCCGCAGGATGAATTCCATCCGTTCATAGAGGCGTTGCTGCCCAATGTAAAAGCGTTCTCGTACACGTGGTTCAACCTGCAGGCCGCTAAACGCAAGTATTTCAAAAAACACGAGAAGCGGATGTCGCTCGAAGAAGAGAGACGGTGCAAGGAAGAGCTGATGGTGAGTTCATCAACTATATTATAATATATTATTATATTATGCTCGAATGTACACAGTCACACACACACACACACACACACACCACATCACATCTGGAACTTCTATATATACATATATTAAAGTATATAGGTATACGTTGCGCTTACACAGAAGTATATATGAATATTGTATGCATAATATACGAGCCGCCACCACTGTTACGGTTGAACTGCAGGTGGTGGCGCAGGCGTACGCGCAAAAAATAAAAAATAAAATACGAATCGCCCGCGTATATATATATATATAAAAAACTATGCTTGATAATAATAAAAAAAAAGTAAAAATAAAACATTAATATAAACGACGACTCACGTGATGTACGTTTTATCTTTATATTATGCATAATAGTATAATACACACACATACACACACGGCGATTTCGAATGTCCCGCGATGTTGACCTGTTCGATTGCCGAGCGGCGGTGGCATTCAGTTCAAGGTCATATATTATTCTCCTGGCCGCCGAGGAGTGGTCGTTGTCTTGTTGACGGTGCACACACACACAACATTGAATATAAATTTATTATATAGCACTCATCTTATTATTCCAGACGAAGTTTCGTCTTTCAGTTACTCGTGTTGGTCGTGTGTGTGACCATCCCTTTACAACCATCGCATCATCCCTTGCACGTATCTCGCAGTGTTATATCTCCCGGATATATACCTGCAATAATTAAAGGCTTTTCATTGTTTACGAGGAATTGAGCGTTTTAAGCATGGGTGGAAAAAAACACCTTACTATCATACAGGTAAGACATCATTTTGATGAGATAACTGCGTAGACTGTGCGGGGTTCGAGGTTTTCTCCTTTATTATAATATATAGGTACCAAGTATGATTTATAAATAATTCAATAACCCCCCCCCTAAGAAAAATACCCCAAAAAATAATTATTTCATACCCATATAATATTGTGTACTACGCATACATCATCTGCATTTCGATGTTGAGTTATAGTCGCGGTTGTACAGATCATTCTAAGATATTGAATCAATAAAATCCATTATATACTACGTCAAAAATCCTTCTTCTGACGATATAAATCTTCTGACTGGTTTGAAGGATGTCCAGTGGCGTCCGACGAGCAGTAATAATATTATTGTCGTGTGATTAATCGGTACCCCGTCGTTGTAACTATATACACATTTATATATCTTCGCATTATGAAGCATGTTTGTACCTATGTACGATAACAATCTAAAACAAAACTCGTCTTCGTGTTCCGACGTAAGTCAAAGAAATCACCGTGTATTGTATATATTTGCCGGTCAAATATTTTTACGTTTTTATATAATATTAGATATATAGGACGGTGGGCAACTTGAATGAGATCCAAAGGTAACTTAAAAGTTCTGGGTGGTACTGCACTTGAGCACTTCGGTATTATAATTAACGTTAATTAAAAGTTTGACGAAAATCCACGTTTATACCTTACAAAATKTTGTGAGGAATTATTCAATTTTCACAATGCGGACATCCAAATCACGAAAATGATCATAATGTAAACTCAACAGAAACCATACATATCCTACTGAGTGTCCRAACTCAAATTGTGTCGAGATAGAAATCATGTCTCCTCGCGTKCACGTATACTTATACTCATCGCACRTATGCACACTTACATTACATCCTATAAAACACCCATCGCGCTGCGTGGCGTGCAGGCACAATTTTTTTTTTTATGTTTTTCACGCGAGGCGAGYTCTCGCACCCATTGCAGAAATAATAATAATAATGGTAATAACAACAACAACAATATTATCTCGTTTTTATTGGACGGAGGAAAAAAAAATAAACATCTTCATAAATTAGAACCCACTGACGGTCGTTCGCGTGTGTGCTTCTCGGCGCGCACCGAATCTTTTTTCGTATAATGCATACGACACGGAGTATTATATTATTACGTATATAATATAGCATTGAAACGACGCGACGGCGGCCAACTCGTTCACCTCCGTTGGAGTGCATAATATACCTTCGCTTAGTGTCAACCAGATAACGAATGAGTCGTATGAATAAAATACGAATAAAATAGTGTAATAATAATAATAACGATAATGATTATTATAATAAAAATAAACGACCAAGGCGCGTATAAGTGTACTTGCAATCGTGTGCATACTAATATTATCGTCATAATATATTTGTCGGCTATCACTGTTCCACGTTTACCAGTGTTAGTATATTACCTGTAGTATGACCACCGAGTATGAATCCTTTATCCTAATCCTATAATGTAGTATAATGTACTTTATATAGTAGGTAGAGACATGATCTCGGGAAAAGTCGTCTTATTACTCTTATTGTAGACGAATTCAGTATTTAATCTCATGCTTTCATATCTGATCTATTATTTATGACGTGTAAAATATATTTGAAATTAAATATATGAGCCTTAGAGTTTTAGAAAATATTATACATCAGGATTTAGATGCGGTTTTTGCATACTGCAAAGGTGTGCATTTGAATTTCAGCTTAAGATTTCTCGAATTTATTATTKAATTTGTAAAGGAATTTCTTGTTATTAAGTGTTCCCTCGGGCCGTGGACTTTGGAGACTTAAATTAAAGAGGACGCATAATATCTTTCCATAAATAACAAAGTGGATTCCGTTACTACGAAATATTGCCATGTTGCAAGATAACGCTATATACATTAAAACGAATGTATTTTTCGCAGAAATCGTTGTTTCTATTGCTCTCTATTTTTGTATCTATATACATTTCAATATTTCACAGTATCATATATATATAACGGATATGGTGAATTTCTATTTACAAAAAATAGAAAAAAAATTTGGGAAAAAATT